TGCCGATTTGAAAGATTAACTTTTGTTCAAGAGTTTTGCGGCTTTACTTTTTGCCTAAATGTAAGGAGAGACCGCAGATTGCCATATGTTGTTTAGAATGATTAGGTAAATTAAAGTGTCTAGCGACTGGTTTAGATGCGTCCTTGTCATTCCTTTCCACGTCGCGAAGGTGTTCTCGGAATCGGTCACCTAGTCGTCTTCGTGTTTCGCCGATGTATAACTTTTTGCTTTTGCAATAAGTGCAAGTTATGCAATAGATAACATTGGCGGAGATGCACTTGAATTGATCGATGATCCTAATGGATCGCTTGGGTCCCGATATTTTCTGAGCGTTGTAAATGAAGGGACAAGTTTGCATCGTGCGCGAGCACATTTCAAAGTGCTGGGTTGGTCATTAGTTTGGAATGAACTTATGACCAAAACATTGCCTATGTTTTTGTCGCGTTTGAATGAAATAAGGGGAGGTTGCGAAAAGATGGTGCCAGTCTCTGGATCGTTTTGAAGTAATTTGAAGTTTTTAAGAATAATGGTCGATTTAACTGAGTGATTGTGAGGGTGAAACTTTAGAGTGAATGGAATGCGGTAGGAATTTTCTTTGTGATGTTTGTTGTGCTGACTGCAGATCAATAGGTTGGGCGCGGTGGTGACCCGCTTGAACGACAGAAACAGGGTAACCACGTTTTTCGAAAAACTGGCCCATTGACTCTGATTTGTGGGAAAAATCAGAGTCATCACTACATAAACGACGAAGTCTTAGAAACTGAGAAAAGGGGATGGAGTTCTTAACATGAGATGGATGCGAAGATGAATACAACAAGTAACTATGTGAGTCTGTAGGTTTGTAATACACACTAGTGGATAAACCGTTGCCTTCAATTGAAACTTTGATATCTAAAAAGGATAAAGAATTGTCGGAAATCTCCCAGGTATATTTTAGAGCCGGGTGAAAAGAATTGACTGCGGTTGTGAATTAAGTAAGTTCCTCTCTGGAAGAGAAGGTAGCACCGATACAGTCGTCGATGTAGCGACCGTAGAGTTCAGATTTGGGGCCAGTGTATTGGCAAAAAAATTGGTGTTCAACAAAGCCTACGACAAGATCATGATTGGCATGGATGGGTCCCATTTTGGTACCCATAACTACGCCCTTCGTTTGTTTGAAAAAGTTGTCCCCGAATGAAAAACAATTAAGTGTGAGTACTAGTTCAACTAAGCGAAGTAGGGTTTCAGACATTAGGAGGGACAGTGTAAAGAGGTGTAGTGTCCATGATGAAAAGAAGTTTGTTTTGTCCAAGAAAATTAAAGTTGCGAAACATTTGAAAAGCGTGTTGGCTTTCTTTGATATACGAGGTAACGTTTTGAGGATAGGAGCCATAATTTTGTCTAAATAGCTGGAAATAAGTTCGGTAGGGCAACTACAAGCCAAGACAATGGGCCGACCTGGGTTGTTAGGTTGTGAATTTTAGGTAAAAAGTAAATACAAGAAGTTTTAGGAGTTGGTATGACGAGATTTTTGGCAATGGCCGGCAATTCTTGTTTAGCTATGAGTTCGTTAATCGTATTTCCGACGAACATTTGAGTAATGGAAGTAAGATCTTTTTGAACCTTTTGATAAAAAGAGGTGTCAGAAAGTTGCCGCAAAGCTTCTTTTTGGTAGAGGTCGGTCCGCCAAAAAACTACTGCGCCGCCCTTGTCGGACGCTTTAATAACAGTGTATTTACGTTTTTTTAAGTCTTTTTAGTGCCGACCACTCTTCAGAGGAATGATTGGTACTACGATTGAAATGAAGTTTGTGAATATCGTGGCGACATTTTTTGATGAAAAAGTCTAACGATGCGAACTGGTCCTCTTGGGGAGTCCATTTTGACTTTCGACTCTGAAGTGTTTCGAAAGTTTCATCCACACAACCACTCAGTTAGATCCATTATTCTTAAAAACTTCAAATTACTTTAAAACGATCCAGAGACTAGCACTATCTTCTCGCAACCTCCACTTATTTTATTCAAACGCGACAAAAACNGTTATCTATTGCATAACTTGCACTTATTGCAAAAAGTTATACATCGGCGAAACAGGAAGACGACTAGGTGACCGATTCCGAGAACACCTTCGCGACGTGGAAAGGAATGACAAGGACGCATCTAAACCAGTCGCTAGACACTTTAATTTACCTAATCATTCTAAACAACATATGGCAATCTGCGGTCTTTCCTTACATTTAGGCAACACGGAAAGCCGCAAAACTCTTGAACAAAAGTTAATCTTTCAAATCGGCACTCTTAATCCCACAGGTATCAACGAACGCTTTTCATTCCACTAATTTATTCGTGTTTTTCTCGTTGCCATGTTCCCACCAATGGCGTAGCTCCGCTTTCTGCATATAAAACCACATACACACAAAAAGGCAAACCACAATTCCTCCATTCGCTCCGACGAAGGACTAACGCTCGAAACGTCAGCTTTTTTATTCGTTACGGTGGCCAATTTACAATTTCAACTTAGTTGATATAACCAGTGGTCTCTGAAAGAGCTTGGTGCGCGAAAAGTAAAAGAAGAAATGGCCACTTGTTCAAGGATTGGCTGCGATCATCCGTGACTGTCAGGCGCTTTCCTTGAGACAGCGTGGTTTCCAGTCTGAAGTAACTCCGAATAATAGCAAAAAAAAAATGAAACAAACAAACTGGCAAAACATAATAACACAAAAGAGAACAGAGCAAACAAGAACATCGCCTAATTGTCTAAAGGGTTTATGACGCTATCCAACGGGTATCTCGCTTTCCAGCGGAGAAGGCAGATGAACAAACCTTACTGCGCTATTCACGATATAGAGCTTTATCTAGTGAATGCTGGATAGTGCTATTAACCGTTCGGATAACTGAGGCCAGAACAGAACTGAAGAGAACATAACCGATCAGAAAAAAAACAAATCACGATACAGTAAAACCATGAACAAAACAAACCAAAAGATACAGAGGAGTTCCAAAGATGGCACTTGGCGTGTCGATGGAGTTTCCAGGCCCCTTTTCCTTTGTGGGAGCGGCATGGTCTCACATAAGGTCTGAAATCAAGAGAAAATGACAAGTTTTTTAATTAGGTGGTCTTCAGAACTTAGCCTGCATCATTTTCATTTAACTCGTTTTTCTTTTAAAGAACGTCTAATTATTTTTTTCGCGATTTGAGCCTGAAAACGTCCTCAATATGTTGCATGTTATAGTTATTAATCAATTTGGACGTGACTAGGAAACCTATCTAAGTACATTGTTTGTTGTGATGCGTTAATTGTCCTGTTAGATCAGTTTTACATTTCTTCTACCTTTATTCATACCCACAAATAAAAAAAATTAGCAATATAAAGTTGTTCAATTTCTGAAATGACTCTTAGCCTAAGTATGTTCTTAATATGTTCTTACAATTTTGATTCATCAAGTGATCAGCACAACCTGCGGTAAACGTTATTTAGAGGTGCAAAAGTACGTTAGGAAAGCTTGAGCGAACTGGCCCGTAGCCGTGGCTTCGCTGAGGCAGGCTTATTCCTTACAGTAGGGAGCTTAAGCAGGAGTACTTTTGTAGACGACGCCGCCGTCAATGAGCAGTTGAGACTGGGACTAGGTCCATTGCGCATGACATACCCCCGACAAACGACGTCCTCCTTTCGGCGACAACGTGAGTTTTAGTTATTGACGGCGTCGTGAAATGTGAGTGATTTATGAGATTTCATGGCTTTTTTAGTTTTTTTCAACTTTTCTATGTGGTTCACACGATTTCAATCGATGTTCAATTATATTTTTAGTTTAGTGTAAGAGCTGTTTGTGCTTTTTTGAGACAGTTTTTGGAAGATAGAAATGGCCACGGAGAAGGATGCAACGAGGACCAAACCTCCCCCCAAATCGTAAGTAAGCTTATTAGGAAATTATTTATCTGCGAAAGTTGAAATGACGGTGGAATCCTAAGAACTTGAGCCAGTTCGTACGAATTATAAGCAAAATCTGGATTTCGCGAGGAAAACGAGTCGTACAAGATTATAAAATCCTCATCACTAATAAGATCAGCATCGCAGTAGAGAAGAAGGGTCTGACGAAACTCTTTAAAACTGGCCATAACCGGAGTAGAAACAAAAGTATATCAGGAACAGAGGATGGCCGCGTTCTGGCAAAACGGCATCCGTGCTTAACAAATTAACATTTGGCGGGAGAGCGACGACGTCAAACCCAGGCCGTCGGGAATCTGACGGCGGCGTCGTTCCCGAAGTCTCTCCTGCTTAAGCTCCCTAGTGCCGGGGAGGACTCGCCGTCTAGGTTCCAGTATCTCCGCTGCCCTCTCGTCTTCCAGATTTCCTTTTGCTTCGCACTCATGAGGAGTGAGAGAGTGTGGAATGGTTAAAAAATCCTGACTCGAAGTGTAGTTTATCTCGTTAAGGAAGATTTGAATGCACGTTTCTGAAGTAAACCAGAATATACGTTAATGCTGAAGTTGAATTTGGCTGAAAGAACTGGCCGTTCGGCAACTGTTAATGATCAAAGACCCACCATCAGCCATTATAATTAACAGATTATTCTGATGAACCTCCAGAATAACCTGATATCCTCTTAAAAGAGTGATTATTAAAAGTATCATTTCCTTTTCGATAACAGGCTTTAGCCTGGTAAAAAACAATTTTAGTCTTATAACTCATTCGTCAACGCCTTATTGGTTTTTCAGTTAATGAGTAATATGTTGTTCTTTCACCTGCAGGCAAAAGTGCAAAGTTAATGATTTACCTCTCCTTATAACTATTGAGAAACAAAACTTGTGTAAACAAAAGTATTATGTGGATTGAGATGTAATTCCGACTTGTTCGTCATCTGGGGAGAAATATTTCATTTTAACCCTATCAACACTGCGCAGAGCAAATAGAATTTGTGACACGTACGACACCTAATTAGAATAACAAAGGCGTGAAACAACGGGCCAATCACTTTGAATAACCCTGAGACCTTTGAGTAAACATGTACTAGTAATAAAAAGCAAGTCAAAAACCGCTGTCTACTGTAACCTAGACACGTTCGCCAAATACATCTCTGGCTCATCGTGAACTCAAGAAGTAGACCTAAGAGTCGTCATTATTCGGAGGATGTTACAAGCTTCGTCATGAAACTACTCACAATTTGCACTGTTTTCATCCACGTAAGATCTAGAGGAGAACTGTAGAACATGCAATTTAGATCTAACCGATCTGCACGGTTGTCATGTCATGTTAGAGACGCAAAATTGAATTATGTTTTGTATTTAAACCTAATCTAATCTGCATTGTCATTCCTTTTTTTTTTTTTTTTACAGTACGTGTATTCGTCTACTGTCGATGACTACTACGACAAAGGTAAGTACACTATCCATAAGGATATAGGACGTTTGTGTATCAGCTGGGGGCCTATGAATTCAATGCTTTTGTTCTAGCTGTAGTTCCTCGGCAATTCATTTTTGCCACCAGTGCCAGGTAAAGTCGCTGTTTATTAAGGCATCGCTGGCGAGGTAAGAGAAGAACGAAGCCATTAATTCCTGCCAAAATTTAATCTCTTAGGACATGATCTCAACGTCAAACCCTCAGTTCACTGCACATGTTTGACGCAAATGCTGCCAATTGAAATTCAAACAAACCTAACCAGACTTCGATGGAAGAATCATACTGCCAAGTAAAATGAGTTTCACTATCCATTTCTTTTGTAATAACGACAAAGTTCATTTCAGTCGGTCATGACAAAACGAAATTCTTCCTGTGGCGTAATATCGTGACATAGCAGAAGTCACTGTTACGTTACTCTGTAAAACGTTTACGTATAGTATATCTAATCCCACAAAATGTATCGATCTGTGAAAGCATGTTTTCGCAGGCCAAAAATACAAACAGTGAACGAATATGAAAATAGTCATAGGTTATGGCTCATGATGAGGTAATCGAAGTATAGAGACAACAGCTCGGTCACGGTAACAGCCCAACGAAGGGTTCAAAAAGAGCTAAAGGCATGGGTTGCGAGACAAAAATGAGGTTTTTGGTAACGAAACAAGATCCTCTCGTGTGCTTGAAACGCTTTGAAATTGAAGCAACCATCAGACTCCTACTTTGTTGTTTCAGCATCAAAAGATAATGTTCATAATTACAAAAAATCACTCCTTTTTTCATGTTTCTTTTGTTTTCAAGCTTGTTCTCTCTCGGAAGGATATTTGTCCGCGTGTTTTTATTCAAGGGAGTGATAACCTTGAGCTTTCCAAATACTCATTGGATCCTACAGCTGCTCACCTGCGTTTACTAATTCATAAATTTGCGTCTCTTCTTGCCTCTTTGAATGATAATTTTAGCTATTTAATTGTTCTGCATGGACACTCAAATCTTAGCCTTTCCAACCCATTTTTTCGGAGCTGAAATACATGTCGAGAAAAGCACGAGTTTAAGTTGCAGTTTTTCCTTGTTAAGCACGCAAACTACGCTGTTGCTGCTTGTGCAATTGCTTTTGAAAGCAATTACAAATAAGAAAGAAGTTAATATTCATCATAAGGAAGCAATTGATTGCAAGGTGCTGATAGCAAAGGAGGTGAAATCTGTCCCGAAGACTTTTCCTTCAGTTTGAGAAAGAAGGTCACGATTAAATCGCTTCTTTGCCTTTGCTCAAGGACTAAAGCGTAAAATACAAGAAACAAGTCTTCCTAATGAGTTATTCCCTATCTTGTTTGAACAAAGTTAGGAATTAGTAGTTTGGTAAACAATAATTCTATCGCACACTCTTATTAATCTTGCCTGGAGCCCATCATGCAGAACAATGTAATTTCAATTTTCCGAAGTCATTATATATCAATACGGCCTCGGGCATTATTTTTTACGGCTTTGCTGAGGTTTACAAAGGGAGAGATTTTCAACTGGAAGCACGGAATAGGCTAAGAAATAGAAATCTATTAAAGCATCGATATGGTAAAGTATTTTGCTTTGATGAAAATTATGCGGTCCACACTTTTGTTCAGCCATCAAATGTTGCCTCTGATGATATGATGAACGTTCGCCTTTTTTCTATTCTATTTCCTTTTTTTTCTTAATTCGTTTATTCCGGACTGTAAAACTCAAGCTCTGCGTCGCCTTAAGTGACTAGATCACGGAGGGTCGTGGGTTCAAATCCCATCTGGAAACTCGATTTTTTTAAAAAAAAAAAATTAAAATCACGTATATATGTATAGAATGTTTACAGTTTTAACATAAGCATAACTTCAAGTAGGTATGTATGATGCTAATGCAACGATAAAATCGGGTTAATGAATGAATGTTCAGCGTTGCAAAACCGCCGTCCATCGAAGAAATTTTCCTTTTCTCCTTTCGGTCTCTAATTGGCTCTTTTCATGCACTAAGCAATAAATAGCGTTATTTACCAAAGTTCTGACCCATTTTTTCGCATTTCGTTGATGGTGTTGGAAATAAACGATATCTTTTTGTTCTTGCAGATTTTTGTATTGGTAAATCATCTGGTTTGCACGCAGATCCCGAAGACTGCAGGGCTTATTATGACTGTTTCCGCGGTAAAACACGACATCGCACAGGGCTGTCAACCGGACTTATGTTTCATCCACAAAGCAGAACCTTTGTTCATTCGTGGGAAATGGATTGTCCAGTCACAAAAGGTATTACTAGCGCAGACATTAACCTGTAAGGACTTGACCAAAAACACCTTAAGCTTGTCTTGGCCGATTAAGTATAGAAATGGTCATCATTGCAGGTTTCTGCAGTCTTATCAGTCTCCCCGCCAAGGAATCAAGCTTTTAAAAAAATGAAATTAAAGTATCCCTAGAAACTCTTTTCGCCAATACCCATCACCATTTCTAAAACCAAAGCCAAGCCGGCGTCTAACACATCTGTATCTTTTCCTTATGAAGTCTACCGCGAAATCTGGAGAAAAGTACCAGGTTCATCGGTCGCTGACTTGAAGAGAAGCAATTTTTACCCATGTGCACCTTCCAAGACGGAATTCAACGACACATTCTGTCTTTACAAACTTGACCAGGATGATGGTTATGGTCAGAGGTTGAGATCTTTCTTCAGAGCCCCAGAGACAGGCCATTTTATCTTTCAAACTTCATGTGATAATTCCTGCCAACTGTGGATAAGCAGCAACGAATTACCAGCTGGAAAGCAGCTCATCATTGACCAGCGTGTGCCAAGCAAATATCGTAATTGGGATGGGTATGTACAGGAACCCATTACTTATCTTACTCAATGGGCTCCTGGTATGTATATACGGTGCAAAAGTGACTGACTGAGTTAATGGCTGGCTTGTCAATAGACCAATGACTGTCCAATAGACCAACTGTTTGATTGACACGCCAACTGACTGGATCGAAGAGTGATCTCTTACCGACGGACATTGTGGGTATTTTTTGCAATCATTCACCAATGCATGTCGCATGCCTCACGTTATTTTCACGGCCAATAGTTCACCGTCGTTACGAATCATGAGTAGCTCCAAAAGCAGTTATACCATGCGGTGACTGGGCAGTGACGTCGAAAAAGTAATTCAAATGTAGTGGGGAAGGAAGTGGGTTGTATCTCTTTCTGTCGAGGTACAAAGGCGTGCTTTCCAAGTAAAAGTTGTCAGCAGCCCTTGCACTCTGCTGTCCTTGCGTTTTAAAGTTTCAAATTCTAACGCCGAAGAATTCAATAATGACTTTAAAATATTCCACTTCTGATGATTACGCACTTGCATAAATTTCTATATTTTTCTTGATTTTCCCAGATAAAAACGGCCTCTATCTAAGATTTTTTGTTTACTTGTAGATCTGCTGAACAATTATCAAGAAAGATATCCCTTGAAAAAGGCAAGCTATACTACATGGAAGTACTCCACAAGGAAGATAAATTGTCTGATTTCATTTGCGTCGGGGTAAAATTTCCTACTTTAAAGAAAGAACAGCCTATCTCATCAAGGCATCTTGTCATGAATACAACAGGTACGAAGAGAAAATTGTCCTGTACAATTCATTAAACGTGCCACCTTTAGATCAAATTGGGGCGTTAATTTTGTAATGACGCGAGACTCGGAACTTAAAGAGTAATTTACTGGGTATGAAAAAGAGATCATAATCTCTTGGTTTATGAAAAGCTCATCTTTCAAACCGGCAGTCTAAATCCCACAGGGATCAACCAACGCTTTTCATTCCACTAATTTATTCTTGTTTTTCTCGTTGCCATGTTCCCACCAATAACGTAGCTCCATTTTCTGCCTTTAAAAGCACACACAACCCACAATTCCTCTTTCCGCTCGACGAAGGGCTAACGCTCGAAACGTCAGCTTTTGTAATCGTTACGGTGGCCAATTTACCATTTCAACTTTGTTGATATATCCAAATTATTTCGTTACTCCCACCGACGCAGCTCCAAACAGTTTCTTTCGAAACTATCAGCCTTTATTCTTGGTTTATGTATTACATCATTTTTCAACAGTACTGCAGCTTATCGGTTGCAAAGGGAGCATTCAACAACAAAACGTTAAGTGTCAGAAAGAGACTTCTTGTGAAAGCCCCAATCAACAGGTACTTATGGTGCTTTGTGCTGATTTTTTTTTCTGGTAAAACAAATATAAAATCGATGTAATCTTATCATCCATCGACACTCCAGTTAGTAACGACTTTGTAAATTTATTCCATAATTAACTTTCTTTTAAGCTCGAGAAATTCAAGCAATCAATGGATACGTCGATCCAAAGCTTGAAATCAATACCAGCAGACGAATCACCCTCGTCACTAAAACGAATTGTACAAGTCACGAAGGTAACTAGTAAATGTATTATGAAATGATTCTTGTATGTCACAGAGGAACATTATCGTTCTTACACAAAGTGATCAACATTGATGCATAGAAGCTACCTTTGTAGCTTCCCTGAACACCATTATTCGCTTTCTTACTGGGTCTAGTTCATAAATATAAATATATTAGGAAAAGTAGTCATTATTTAAATTGCAACAGGGAAGAAAACCCATCAAATCTAAATATATTTTCAACTTTCTATCGCTTTGTAACCAGTATATCAAACATAAAAACTGCTTTAGAAACAAAGATTTTGCAAGAACGAAAGTAGTTAACTTGTTTGCCAGGCTGGTCACCCAAGGCATAATTCACGTTTTAAGGATTCCAAGCCAGTTTTGTAAAATTTACCTGATTAGTAATCCTTTTTTTACTTTTTCCCGGAATGCAGGATTGCACTGAAATTATAAACGGAGTACTGGAGGACTCAAAGAAAGAACAATGGCGTCGATCCAACCTGTCGTTAGCTATGGAAATTGCTGAAGTCACAGAGACATTTGGCAAAGAACTGGCTCAAAAATGGTCAAACGAGACATCTACTGTGGTCTCATCGGATGCTAACATTGGCGAGTGCATTTATCATTTACCTGTCCCTTATTTCCTTTGTCCTATATATACATTAATGACTGTATGGGGTTAGCTGCCGACCAAAGTGTTTCTTCAGCAGCGGAGCTTGCAGTGTAGCCCCATAGCATAGTAAATTTCAGTTGGTAACCCTTTAAGCCAAAAAATGTGGGTTTTCACAATACATACTTAACTTTTTTTAACTTCACTGATTAAAAAAGATTGTCTGCATTAGCTCTCCAGGCATCAGTGTTGTCGTCCAACAGCTACAAATTCTCAGTGCCTGAGTTTAACAACAACTGGAAAGGGATCAGAGATTTCTTGGCTTTAAAAATAACAAGTATGTATACAAAGTGAGATCGCATTCGCGCTCATTTTAAGAATTTAGGCCATGAGCATACACGTCGTCTTTTATTTTATTTTTTTACAGAAGGGAAACCAAAAAACAAAACAAAGGTTTTTAGCGTCATTTACAAGAATTTGCATGAGCTGTTGCCATCAATTCCCAAGAAAGTTATAGAGTAAGTACATTATGGCCTTTATATTCATCAAATACCATGGTCCCTGCGACTTATCTGTCAGAAAAACCAGGAAGGACACATTGCTACCCTTAATGATAACTGGTATTTCCGTCCCAGCCTTTTTTTTTTTTCTGTATATAATTTTCTTCAGTTCGATCCAGATAATGCCGACTGCACTTATATTGTGTTGACAAGGTTAGAATTTTTAGGAGCTATTTCCAGGAAGCTACCTTTTGTTTTTTCGTTTGTATCATTTTCTCAAACTTCTAGGAATCAAGCCTTTGAAGAGCAGTATCATGAGCTGAACAGCCGAATAATAGGTAGCCTTATTCACCCACCAATCAATAGTCAGCATTTAGAGGTCCGTGTCACATTCCAACACTTAAAGGTAAGAAAGTGTATTACTTAAAATGTGAAATTTAGATCTTGGTTTAACTCATTTGCAGGTACTTTTCTTTCTCATTTCCTTTTTTTTCCTCACTCAGATGTAATCTCTTCTTTTGTTTATTTGCGAGCTAACGATGACCTCACTTTTATCGTTTGACAGCACAAATCGAATGCTTCTCTTGCGCCAGTTTGCGTGTGGTGGGACCTCACCGCTGGGTGAGTACAAAGTCAGATTTGGGCCTAAGAACCAAGATATTCTGATCTCGACAGGAAAATTTTTGCTGAACTCAAAATCCTAATTGAAAAAGAGGAAGATGGCAAATCGAGTAGGATCTAACTTAGCCATACTACTCAACGCTTCCAGAATTTCTTTTGATGTAGGCATGCATAGAGAACGTTTCAACCGTAAAATTCAGAGCTGCTAGATCTTTATCCGAGTTGTAGCATTTATTCAAAAGGCATTGCCACGTCTGCATCAAAGCTATCACTCCATGTTAAATGTATCAATCAGCAATAACATACATTGTATGTCCGTTCCTATTAATCCACCAAGTTAAAACGCTGCGCATGGAAAAAGAAAATAAAAGAGAAGGTTGATAATAACGATAATGAGAAAGAATTGAAGAAAGCTTCAAATGGGTGACAAATTTTCATTGTTCTCACGATACCTATAGGGGTGTAAACGGAAGTGGTTTCTGGTCGACTAAAGGATGTCAAATAGACGAAGCTGCTTCGAATACGACTCACTCCACATGTAAATGTAACCATCTCACAAATTTTGCAGTGTTGATGCAGGTTAAGTCGGATTCTGACCTGGAGGTAATAATGGTGACAAAATTATTTCATCTTTGACGACTGTTCACCTCGAGGAGACGTTGTAGAGAATTTAGAAAGAACAGTAAACACAGCACATCGCAACCTTGAGACGCTTTCATATAAACTATCCCTGAATACAGAATTTAATGTTTAGTTCGGTGTAGCGTTCTCGTGACCCTTATTTCATGGGTCTATGGGACATAATCCATTTCGAGGATTATGTTGAGAAAGTTGCACCTCGCGTGGTGTAGCGGTCCATAATAAAAGACCGGATCTCTAACAGTTGCTCTCCTTTTTGTCTTATTTAACGCCTATCTTATATCAAATACTCATATTGACAAACATTAATTTTTTTTTTTTTTTTAGGTGGACAAGTCCCATATTGTAGCATTACAGATCATTACTTACGTGGGTTGTGGACTTTCCCTGATGGGAGTGACTCTCACCGTCTTCGTAATCGCTGCTTTGTCGTAAGTGCAGTTGATTTTTTTTCCTTTTTTGTTGGCCCATTTCTTCTTTGAAATCTATTACATCTAAAATAGTGCCCCAGTGACAGTGGAGGAAATGTTTTATCTTTACGGGAGAATCATGTGCTTTGAGTGTGAAATATGAAAGGCAGGCTTCACCACGCATTGTTCACAACTTGTCATCCTTCGATGTCATCGTCATAGTCGTTGTTGTTGTAGGTTGTTTGAACTCGTTCTTTTACTCCATTCTTTTTTTTCAAGTTCTGTTTACATGCTCCTCTGTGACCCTATCACTGAAGATTGTCTTCCAATTTAAAAGATGTTTGAACTTCTTAAAATAAACTTCCGTAATTCATTTTCATTTCCTGTTATTCGTCTTTTGTCTTGTATTACGTAAAAAGGAAAATAATTATGATTTGTTATGATAAACGATGCAAAAGCCGTGATAAAATTTTGGTTACCACAGGGGTCTGCGCTCAGAGAGAAATCTAATTCATTTAAACCTGTCGCTGTCTATTGGAATCTTTCAAATAATTTTCCTGGCAGGAATTGAGGCAACTAACAATGAGGTTTGTGGAAAACTCGCATAAAAATACATTATATAGTAATCTTAAATCAATACTCATATATATAAATCACTAATCAACAATCGGCTTTTTTATACTCAAAGCTGACCCTAAATACCAAAATAATCCTTCTCGCTGAGAAAGAATATTTTCCAGACTTTTCAGTTCTCTATTGCTGCTGCAATGAAGAATTGACATAAACCTATCAACCTAACTCTGTTGCAGATCGCTTGCACTGTGGTAGCTGTGTTACTTCACTATTTCTTGTTGGTGTCATTTGCGTGGATGTTAGTGGAAGGGATATACCTTTACCTAATGGTCATAACTGTCTTTGAAAACAGCAAAGAACAACTGCGAATTTTTGGAGCAAGCTCATATGGTAGGTCTGCTCTAAATTCATGACATTCAGCTGCTTCCCACCAAGCAGATATTTGCCAGGAAAATGCAGTGGGCATAAGATTGAGTTTTTGCAGTTCATTTTTTAAAGATTATTTAATGGTATCAGGAGATCTGGCGTCTGATCAGAAGTATCCAATACTTTCTGTTTGTATTTTATCTTCTAGGTTTTCCAGGAATAATTGTCCTTATAACAACAAGTGTGGCGCATGATGGTTACGGCACAGATTCAAGGTAATTTATACTTAGTTCTTATTAACCGAGCGGGAGGTCTGTATGGGAGAATCTTGACCGAGGTCGCCAGTACAGACTGAACGCAGTGACGGGTCTGCACCAGCGACCAAGGTCAAGATTCCTCCATACCGTAGACCGACCGAGCTCGGTTAATAAGATGTTTATTATATGGCTGTGTCTTATATGCCATACATACATACATAAACTTTATTTCCATTCGGGTTTATGAATAGCACTAGATCTGCTAGTATCTCCGAACATATAACTACAAAAAAATGACAATAGGTTTAAAATCGAAAGACTCATATAAAACCTCATATAAATATGCTTATAATTATATACTAATCCCCATTAGATATATAACTCCTAATGGCACGTTTAAAAGCTGCTAGAGTGTCTGACATTCTNCGTGAATTCGGTAGTTCCCAGTCCTTGTGAGACACAGCCATATAATAAAGTTTATTACTATTATCTGCTCTATTTAAAAATATATATGTATAAAGAAAAAAGAATTTTTAGATACTATTCTTGTGAAAAAAGAGTGGTACGGTATGATGCAGCGTTCCTCTGAAACTTTTTCCCAATTTCCGGTAAATCCCGATTAGAGTTCAAATTTATTTTGTGTCCTTTTATCGCAAAAGGATTACCAACTGCATGTTAACACTCCGTCAAAAGAAAAGCGGTTGTTGATTCTTAAACATAATATAACTAGATAGCAACGAAAGAATTTGGATGCTTTGGTCCATCATTTTGTAAAATGATCATCTGTTCTCAATGTTCTTAGCTGTTGGCTGTCTACGGCGAAAGGTGTTATATACGCCTTTGTGGGACCAGCTCTGGCAATAATCTTGGTGAGTAGGATAGCTGAATATTCCTTTTAGAGAAGTATGGTCACTTAAATAGAAAGCTAAGCTAGCTTGAATTTCATACCTCCGAATCTTTCTTCTAATTCACAGTCTAGGTGTGAGGAACAACACAAGATTCGCCATGATGAGTTTTCTCAGCTCTGTCGAACCAAATTGCTGGCAGTTACTTTTTAATTTCCACTGAGAATTCTCTTCGTAGGATGATAAACTATATCGTGCATCATACGTATCTATAACCGCAGTTCAAAATATATGAACTTCATATATTCATCATATATAAAGTGTAATGATCATTTTGCTTTCAGGTGAACGCCGTAATCCTTATCATGGTTATTAGAGAGATCATCAAAATACAAACAAACGGAATCTCTCGGTCGACAAAGTTTGATCTTATCAAGTAAGCAAGCGATTCATCATCATTCATAACAGATAGAAGAGTGAAACGTCTTTTCTTACTCGGACAATTCATTGCAATGTTCAATTGTTATTAATTCCCTCCAAATTGATCCCATCAGATCCGGTTTCAAGTCATCAGTCGTTCTTCTTCCTTTACTGGGTGTTACGTGGTTGTTTGGTATTTTGGCGTTGGACAGGAACACGATAGTGTTTCAATATCTATTCGCTCTTTGCAATTCATTGCAAGGTTTCTTAATTTTTGTGTTTCACTGTCTCCTTAATTCAGAGGTAAGAAAATGTATTAACTATCATTCGTCGTTTATTTTATTCATGGGGTAACATGTAGAAAACATATTACGAAAGCGGATAGTGTCTCAGGAGAAGAGTAAACAACACTGTGTTTCAAAACATCCCCAAAAGGTAGATGCACAGCTTTGACACGCAATATTTACCTGCTAAGCTTTGAAGATTTACCTATAGCATAAATTTTGAGTTCAAAGAAAGATAAAATGGACACATAATTCCATCCCTACAGTGGACAAGCACTGATACTCATAACTGCATAGACGTATTTCAGCTCATAGCTGAGGCTTTAAAAGTCCTATCTCAGCTCAAAATGTTATCATTTCTATTCTTTACCATACCCTTATCTCTGCCACACCCTTATACCCCAGATTCGAAAGGTTATGCAACGGAAAAAAGAAATATGGTCCAGTCGTCGAACAACCTTCTTTCCTTCAACGACCACGCCGTCTCCTGCTGTTGCAGCTTCAACGTCTCACGGAGCCATGCTGTCGGTAATTGTTCTTCTAGAATTATAAAAATCTTTTTGTGACATCAGGGGCGTAGCTATGGTTTTCAATGAAGGGGGGGGAGACAGGGGGACAGGGGACAGGTCAAAGCTTTAAATTTGCGGGGCTCATACCGCTCTTTTTCATGGAGCTAGATGGACCGGAAAATTTGATATCCAGCATTGAAAAATATGTATCTCAGGTAGAGTCTAGCGATTCGCGTGTTTTCTCAAACCTGAACTAAATTTTTATGTCGTAGAGCTAAGGGCACCCCTAGCATAATTTTATCAATAATTATTTAACTTCCCTTGATGTGTGTTTTAAAGGATGTGAATATGATGTCTGTTTCCGATGATGCAAACAACGGTAACCTCGCCACCGGCAGTGGTCGTGTTAAATCCAACCTTGCACTTGAAGAAAATGGCAGTAAAGCTTCTCAAAACGTGAATGACCAAGCACCTGTTACATCGAGTTGTGCAAGTAAAACCCTTTCGGTGGAAAGCTCATCGCCCGCTTGGCTTTCCAAGAAACACGATCCAGGGCCTAAAAGAATAAAACTTCCTCCAGTTACGGTTCCAGAAACTGCCAAACGAAATCACAAAAGAATCAAAGACAAGAACTTTAAACAGAAGAGTAAGGGAAAACTTAACTCAGCTATAGAACCCTTACAAGAAGAGACTTGAAGGAGTTCATCAAACTCTATTGTCATGTCATCAAAATAGTTATCCGTAACCAGCTGTGGAGCTGAGCTTACCCTCGAAGGCAACTTTCGGCCGGGAATTAACTACGCACAAAACCTCCGTTGTGTGTTACGTCACACAGTCCTGAACCAAATCCTTTAGCTTAGACCAATATATATATATGCACGCGCTTTCTTTTGGATTAAGACCACAGAAATGACATCATCACCCATATGTAATTTTCATTCTTCTATTTTCACCAGTCGAAATTGACTTCAAAAGTACACGAATTTCAGCAGCTGACTGTCTGTTGTAGTGTAAATAAATGATAACATTCTCGTTAGACCGGAAAAATAAACCGCTTTGTTCCCTGTTGCATGAAGTGCTGTAAATGGTGCAGTTTAACTCTCAAGAGGTAATTATCTTGCTGCGAAATACCTCATCGCCCCTTCATGACGAGCTTTGCACACCAAAAAATTTTATGCAAATTAGGCTAAGCCGGATCTGAGTTTCGCCTGGCAATTATTAACTGTAAGAGATCTCAGTTCGCGCCCACAGCACGTTCAAGGTGTTGCGGATGAAGTTTCTGTAATTACTTTTTGGCACTTTTCGGCGTCAAAATTGCATAGTTTGGGTAACCCAAAACCCTTAAGCTGACCTTTCTTGTCATAACACGAATGTTTTCCAGAAAGGGACACGCGGTAATGTCGGTGTCACTCGTGTGCAGGCATTTTTCCAGGTAAAACCCTCGCGTGGAATCAACTCATGTTTACTTTAACGCTCCTTTTA